AAACGGTCGAGACTTTTGATAATTTGCCGCCATAAGAACGGGTTTCTGTTCGCTGGAACGCCAGTCCCCGTTATGAGAAAACAAAAAACAGATGTAAAAAATATAAATAAACCCAAAATGAATGTAATTTTCGTTTCGCGGCCTGTGGAGTGGACTCGATGGGAGGTAAGAGGTTCCATTTATATAAGTTTTTTATGTAGAAGCGAGGGATTATCAGCTGGACAAGAGCCATACAGCTCTATGGATCCCAACAGCTCCTGAAATTCCCACTTTCTGCCGCCTTCTGTTCAAAGTTTGAGTGGCATTTATAACGGGAAATGAAACACAGTTGCTACCTTTTTTTTTTTTTGCTAATCTCCCATTTAATGATCCATTTCCGTTTGGAGAACAGAGAACCCAGAACCGAATACTTATTATAGGAAAACTAATATAGACGAGTGCCCCATAAAAAACAAAACAAAAAATAATAATAATAAAACTGAATCGAAAAACAGTCATCAAACGTCAGTAGTGCAGTTGTGTGTGCAGCAAGCAGATGTCTGTCTGACTGACTGATTGATTGCTTTGAGGGGAAGGGCAGTGGAAGGGGTAAGGGGACGTGCCCCCACTTTTGTATTTGGTTTTTGCTCCGACAGATCTCTACTTAGTATTCCCACAGAACGTACGGAAGAGCCGTCCGTAGGAGGAAGAGAACGAATGCGAGGGAGCAGGGGAAGCACGGGAATGCAGGGGATGCAGGGGAAGCAGGGGAAGCAGGGGATGCAGGGGAAGCACGGGAAGAAGAATTTTAGTTAAAGTTCAATATAATCAAAAAATACTAGATCAAAATGTATTTCTGGTTCCAGACAATAGCCACAACAATTTGTTCATCAAATTGTTGAAATAATATATGTACATATATTTTGGAATACTCGCATTTGTATTTATTTCACACAGCGCTAAAAGTTTAAACTTGTTATTATGTTTTGCTTTTTCGTTTTGCTTTTTTTTGTATTTATTATTATTATTTTTGACTGGAATTTTGAGAAATTCTTTGACTAAATTTCATTTGAATTAAATATTTAAATTGCATCTTTATGGACATTTCACATAAACAAAATTGCGTTTATTTTCAGTCAATGAATGATCTCAGAGAGGGACACGAGAGAACCTGTTATATTAAATGTAAAAACGTGTGAAAGTTGTAAAATTCTTGGCAAGGAATGAACCCTTTCAAACAGGCTCGGAGGTAAGCGTTTTTCAAATTAAATATTTATCAAATATTGTCCACAAAATAGAGGGGGGCCTGGCAATTGATATGCGGTCTGGTCTCTACCTCTATGAATCGAAAATATTTACCCAAAATACACACAAGTTCTATAAATATCACGCAGCAATACTTTTTCAGAAATTTCCATAAAATCTATGCTCTCTTTGCTTGAGACAGATCTTACGCTCTCTCTTTCTTTTTCTCTCTATGGATCATCCACTGAAGATATATTTTTGTTTTTTCCAAGTCTGCATGTGGGTGTCGCCTTTGATTTCGATACCAACTTGACGTCACAGAAAATTCTTCCGTCTTGGTTCTTAGCGCCTCAATGCGTGGTAGATATATACGGATATAGATATATATTAGATATATGTGGAAGAAAATCTATTTGAACTTGACAGAGAAATGTTTTCCTTTCGCATTTCGTTGGGTGCAAATCAATTTCAGCAGCTTTTCCGTTGATTAAAAGGCCAATCCATGTATCTTTGTGTTGTATCTTGTTTACACCTATGCAAGTGGAACGCCCCAGTGGTCTGACGTCACACCCAACCACCCACTGGGGGCGCGGCGGCACGGCGGCGCGGGGACACGTGATGTCAATTTTCCCGTTGTAGTTAGAGTGGCAGCTCCCCCTTCCCCTTGGGCAATTTGCAACAAATGCAAATTGGTTCTGTCTATCTACAAATGCATCTATCTATTTATCTGAATTTCCCATTTCCATTTCCCCCGAAAGGAACCCCCGCCTTGAAGTACTCGCTGCTTTCCAGCAATATGTGTGCCCTTGAACTTGGCCGCGATAATTAGATTTCCTTCGTTCTGTTTTCCGTTTGCCGTTTTGTGTTTTCTGTTTTTCTGTAAAAGTAAAGTAGATGAGCCCGGGGTCGGTTGATGACTTGCTGACTCGTAAACAAATGCAAAGTGAATGACTTTAATGAGCTGCACCGAGTTTTCCCGGGAAAAACATTGGAAATGTAATAGTTGGAGCAGCATGGAGACATGGAGACATCTGTATACGATAATACGAAAATACCTTCATCGTAATGGGTCTTAATATTTGTGATTTTATTCAGTTGTACGCTACCGATTCGCGCCATGCAGCAGCGCCCCTCGGTCGGCAATTATTTGGACAAATATTCGATAAGCATCTGTCAAATAGCTGGATTTTGCCCAATGAAGCTTCAATATCTTTGATTTATGCCGCTCCCAGCGATTGGGGGCCTTTTTACTGGCGTACAAGCTGAAGTGCACGTAAGGCCCACACAATCGACACCATTGATTGCTTACAAAGAAAGCTATCAGCAATTAAATGGTTTCCAAGCTGATTTCGTATCTGGCTTGAATCGCTTATCAAATGATCCAGAAAATCCAAATTCAAATACTTTTATTCCGAGATCCGTTGCACACGCAAACCCCACGGGTGTGAGTGTGAACGTGATTTTCAATTTAATTTGAGAGTTTGAATTCCCACTGAACTCTAAACAGACAACCGCAAATTACAAATAATCTATAGGCAGGTTATAAGGGGTTTTTTTTTTCTGTGTATATACAATAAATACGATTGGGAGCTACCCAACTTGTTGGGGAAATACATATGTACAAAAACTCTGGATACCAAGTATAAATGGTGTAAATCAGGTGGTTTATGAATCGGATTTAGTGTGTTTGACATTTGGCACGTTCCAGTGTCTCATCGAATTAGCGCTTCTGTCAGCACAACACCCGAAATGCAGCACGCAAAAAACTTGTTCTCCAGCGTCGGTGGTCTCTCTCCCAAAAGGTGCAAAACAGCCCAGAAACGCGTGCTACCCCTAATTAATCATTGTACATACAGTACAATCAAATGGCTGGGATGTCCAAAGGGGGAGACAGTACATGCCAGACAGTACAGCATGTCAATGCTCTTAATTATCTACTTAGAACCGAACCCAATGGAATTTTCTTTGCCATCCAATTGACAGAATGAGGCAAATCGGTTTATCTTTTTCTCTCCCTTTGGTTTTCTATTGCATTTTCCATATGTTCTTTCTACCTTTATTTAATATTTATTTTGCTAAATTGTTGTACCAATATTGAGGTTTCAGAAAAGATTTTCAGTCGAAACTTTGACGTCAAACGAATTTCTATTTCCAATTTTGAGAAACAACAAATTTTTTGTGCGTTGTTCTATCCTCAGACTAATCTAAGTGATTTATTTAAGTGTTTTCCATGTGACAGACACACCCTAAATTAATGTTTTGTTAAAGGGAATATAGGGGAAATATATAGTACATATACCATGTATAAAATGAAATATTTTATGTTTTCCTGTTCACTTTTTTTTTGCTTGAATTCTTTCTTTCCCGCTCTTGACTTTCTTAGTGGCTGTAAAACTGTAGAACAAAGACCGGCTGGAATGGACCAAAAAAACTTACCCGCAAAACAAACGCAAGCGACTGTGATTTTGTTCTTGTGCTTTTGCTGCCTTTGCCTTTGTCTTTGCAGCTTCCCACTCTTTGAACTTGATTCGTCCTTTGGCTGGAGCTGGAGAGGAAGTCTGCCGCTTTCGCTTGCTCTCGTGTTTTTTTGTCTTTTGCACAAAAGAAAGTGCACGTAATTATATATTAAAATATGCAGCAGCAGTAGCAGCAGAGAAGAGAGAAGGCCGGACCATATATGTAACAAAAAAAAAATAACAGTTCCTTCTGCGGTCCACAGACGCCGACACAGACACACACACGAAGAGTACGGGACACGGGACACAGTTATTTGTATGAGCAAAAAATCTTCTCTCTTCCTGCACTTTGGCTTTTTTTGGGGAGAAGCGCGCCCGACGAATTCGCTAAAACGACTGATATCGTTGATATGGACAGGCCTCCGAGTAAGTAGCTCGACAGAATTTAACGCCAACAACGACGACGTCGACGGCGACGTTGGCAGCGGCAGAGCCACAGGCAGCAAAGCAGCGATTCTCTGGTGCCAGCGCGGGAAATGTACGAAGCTTCGGAGCTCTGGTTGTTTTTGTTTTTGTTTTTAGTGTTTACTGTTTTGCACGGTTTATGCTTAATCTTTGAGCGCCCGCTTTAAGCGACTGCGCTGCCTCTGCACTCCAAGCGCAGGTTTGACGTCACAGCCGGGGGACTGGGGGCCGGGGCTGGACTCCTTGCTATGGAATTTCATCACGTCACAGCAAAAGCATACATACCGCCGGTGCACAAGAACGGTGGAGGGATGCTGCTGACTCACATTTTTGCTCTGTCGTCCTTGGCAGAGGACGCTTGGGCTTACGCAAGAAACGTGAGCTACAGGACACAAGGATTTAAGGTTGATTTCATCACTGGATTGCACGATTTCTGCACAGGAACAACATTGGATGGGATGAATTATTGAGATTAGATTATGGTTGAAACTGGTTGGTTTGAGACTTTAGTAAACAGATTAAACAGGATTTATTTTTGTATATTTCTGAAATTGTATTTTATTTGTACTTTTAGTGCAGGGTATGTTTCGAGTCGGTCCCTGGAAGCCAATAACAAAATACACAGTCTTTGCCGAGAGAGTCCAGCTGGCACAGAAACAGATAGACGGACGTGTCTCCCTCTCTTTATAACAGATATAAAAGTTATTACCGGCAGTTGGCCTCCAAATAGTCCTAAATCTGAGGGATACTTCCCTAGAGATGGTATGAACTATTGAGTCTAGATTTTGGAATGTATTGTGACTGCATTCGATCTGTGGATTATTATTAAAGAAGGTTTTAAGCCCAAGTGTTTGGTTTAGCATAAAATGTATTTGGTTCCATTCTCCTTTTTGCACATAATCATCTACTGCCTCCGATGCCTCTGAGCTTATTTAAAATATTTTAATATTTATATATATACTATATATATATATTCTGTATATGATAGATTCAATTAGCTTAGGTGTATATATTTATTTTGCATTGTTAAATAATTGAAACGGTAGTTAGTTTGTGGTGTCTTGTCTTCCTTTAGATAAATCCTTAACTACGAGTACTGGTCTCTCATTGAGTTGTGATTGTATCGCATAGTCTCTCCGTCTTCGTGGCCATCTCCGTCTCCATCCTTCTCTTTGGTTAACTTGTCTTGACTTTTGCTCCTTAACCCTAAGCATTATCATTATCATATTTTGTAGCATAATTAAAGCATTCAATTGTTCATGTTCTGCATTAGAGCGCTTCTTCCGCAGTCTATTCCACCTGGGTTTCTACAGTTTCACAGTGGAACCCACAGAACTTCCACCTGGTTTCCGACTGTTCAGACTTGAAGAGATTTGTGTACTTCTTGAGTATGCTGGCAAGATCATCGTGGCTCCTGGGTCCCGAGCTCCTGTCGAGCATTCCGTGGAGGTAGCTGGCAATGCTGGCTATCTCCAAGCCATGGGGATGCAGCACCAGATAGGCCGAGGTCAAGGCTATAACCTTGGCCTCTGCCAGGGCCAGGGATTTGAAGTTTTGCTGAAACGTGCATGTCTGCCGATTAGTGGATCGTTGTTCAAGGAAATCTTCCCCCCCTACTCACCTCTTGACTGGGCAGGGCTGGAGCTTCGTCTGTGCTTGCCTTGGGGCTCAGATCTTCTGTAAGTGTAATTGACTCTTTGGGTTTGTGGGCTTCTGCTGACTCCTGTCGCTCATCGTCCTCGATCTCGTGGATCTCCACTACGCCGCTCTGGTGCTCAATGATGCGCACATCGTCGTCCACCTTATCAATGTCAATTATTTCCAGCTCCGATGGCTGTCTCAGTGGTGGCACCCTCAGCTCCGATGCTGCCTCCTGGCTGCACGAGTCCCCGCTGCTGTAGTCCGCATTCGAGGCAGTCGCACTCTGCGATTCCTTGTCCTTAAGCTTGTCGGCCGTTTGCTTGATCTTGGTCTTGAGCAGCAGCTGCTTGACGCCCGCGTCCTTGAGGTTGCGCTCGAGCTGCTCAATGTGCTTGGTGTCCTTCTGCTCGCGCAGCTTGGTCTGCAGCAGCTGGGTCTGCATGTTGCGTATGGTCTCCTGCAGGACTTTGATTTGCTTCTCGCGCTGCACATAATCGCTGCGCTCCAGCGACATCTCATGGCGAATGGCCTCCAGTTGGCAGCGCAGCGAGTCGTTCTCGTCCTAAAACAAAAGACACTCAGTGGAAATTCGCGGACAGGTGTGTCCTTCCGTTACCTTGAGACTGTCGCTATCATAGCGGGTACGCTTGCCACCCACCCGCCTTTCGAAGTCGCGCTCATCGTCAGATATCTCCATCTCATCATCGTCATTGATTCGGACCGAGTGCAGTTCCTGCATATGGCATATGGCAAGAGACATTTAATTAGTTTTCACCATTTCTCTCCACTCAGTAGAATTTCTTCTGTCGTATTCGTATTCGTATTCGTATTCATTGCTTACAAAAGTAAAATCTCTATAAACCTAGCTATAAAATTTGAGTATAAGGAATGTATCAAATTTTTGTTTTCCTCGTTTCACGACTCCGCTTACTTACCTCGCCATTATATATATACGCTTATATACATACGTATATATGTGTGTTTTAAACAAATGTTTCTTATCTTTCTTTCATTTGGATTCATTTCTATTAATTATTATTAATTTGCATTTGTTACACAAACTTTTGGATTTCATCAATGATTCTGATTTGTTTTAGTTCTTCCGCTTACAATTTACCAAACCAATTCAATTGGCCATCAAATTTTCAAATTTTTCTCTGGGTTCTCCCCCTTTTCGAAATTTGCCAATTTGTGGACATTCGTCTACAGGTTTACGTTTAGTTAAAAGTAGTGAAAGCTTTTTATGCAAATGCTTAGTTAGAAAAGGGCATTGAAAATCCATTAAAATGAAAGTTATACCAAAAGCTAAGAAGGAAGAGATAGTCTAAAGCATTACAGACAGAGATAGATAGATAGATAGAGAGAGAGAGAGAGAGAGAGAGATACGATACGATATTTCGATTGCTAGGCAGTAAGTTACACATGTACGATAGAACCTGATTGATTAGGGGAACAATGGCAGGGGAATTGTTTGAAAATATTTTTTCCAAGAGCTGTCCTGGAACAGGACCAAATATTTTTGGAATAAACTCTTTGATAACTCTTAATTTAAATTTTCTTATATAGTTTTTCCGTTAAAAAAAAAAAAAATTAAAATAATTTGAAAAAGTTAAAAAAAGAATTATTTCTGATTTTAATTTTACAATATTGGCAATTAAATGTTTTACAACTGTTAATTTTAATTTTCATATTAAAGTTTAAAAATACACTTTTTTTCAGTTTTTAAATTTAAACAAAAAAAATATAAAATAAAAATATTAGAATTTAATTGATATTATAAAAAATAAAATAAAAATTAAAAATAAGAGTTATTTCTGATTTTAATAATAAAAATCGGAACTACAAATTTTTTTTATACAAATTTTCATAATAAAAAACAGAAACTAATTTTTATTTTAAGGTCCTAGTTCTTAGTCCCTACAATCATTGTTTCAGATATTTTCAAACATTTCCCCCCCGTTGAGAGATGATCTTCAATGTTTGTAAAGCTTTCCATTTAAGGACTCCTCGGAGTACGAATGTTTAACGATAGTACTAACAGTAAGCGTCTAACAAAAGATAAATGTAAACTACTACTAAACTGCACATAAAAAAAAAACAATTAAGAGTTCGATTTGTTTGGTTAACAGATATGAGGGATATGGGAGGGGGGACAAACAAATGAAGTAGTAACATGTTGTGCAAATAACAGCGAAATTAACAACTAATAAACAACAATTAGCAGCTCAAAGCCTCTGCGATGGTATACGGGAGGGGATACGGAGATGGGATATGAATGGGCGACATGCAGATACTGATACGAGGACGGGACTGATAGCACACAAAACATTGAACAAATGAATATGATACGAATTCTATAACGATACTACGATATGTATGGATGACTACAGGCAACAGATATGGCCAGAAGAACAGCGAGTACAACGAGAACAAGAACAAGAACAAGAACAACGGCAACACATAAGGAGCAATACATACTATAGTTGATAGATTATTAGACAGTAATGGAAGATTGTTGGGTGAGGGGTATTGTTGGGGTTTAATAGACAACAATTGTCGTAACATCTTTGAAGCTGTGTGTTCTTTAATTGATTATTTGAACATTTTAGTACGTACCGTGGCTAACTTCTTCCATTGATCGATGTTTTTTCTTTGGGCTTTGGTGAAATGGTCCCAAACCTTCTTGTGACTAGCGGCATTGAACACTTTTTCAATCTGAGTGACTGAACAATAATGCAATAATATATAATAATATTAAGGGAGGACAGAGGGTAGTTTTTTTTTTTGTTTTGTTTTTTTTTTTTTTAGGTTTTTCTTTCTTTCTGATTTGATTTTTGTTTCGTTTATCACCTTTTTCGAACTAGTCTTTTTTCGTTGTGAATAAAATGAGAGTGAGAAATGAAAAGTAGAAGTAGGAAACTACTTGAGAGACCCTCGCATAGCATTTTTAAATACATACGGCATATAGTTATGGTTATTTATAGTTGATATGTATTACATTAAGGTACAATCTAGAGAGAATACAACGGCTTTGTTACCTACTCGTATCTTTGGTCATTGGTTTAATTTTTGGTTCTGGTCCGAGTCTGAGTCTACTACAAAGGACTTTCGCCCCCTTCCGATTATAATCGGAATGGATCTTTGTATTTGTTCTCTTCTTTGGTTTACAAACCTTTGAGGCCTGCCTTCTGCCATTGTGTGGTGTCAAGAGCACACACACAGAGAGAGAGAGAGAGAGAGTGAGTGAGTGAGTGAGTAAAAATTTGGCCGCACAGTGGTACGAAATTTGGAATAGGAATATCCAATTAAAGCAAGGAAATCGATTGTCTCACAGTTGATGCCAGTGGAAAGAGGTTTTTTTTCCTGGATTTATATTATTAAGAGCAGAAAAAACTCTTCTTTTTAAATTTTACAATAAAAATGCGATTGAAAATAATTTGTATCACAAAAATGAAAAATAAGAGTTATCTAATTTGAATAATAAAAATAAAAAATTATAATTTGCAAATATGTGATTGAAAATAATTTTTGTTTTAAATTTTTAGTATACCAATTTAAAACAGAAATTATTTGATTTTAATAATAAAAATAAGAATTTTTATAAATTAAAAAAATGTTATGTTTTTAATTTGTATAATAAAAATTGAAAAGAAATTTTTGTTTAGTGTTTATAATTAAAACATAAGTTATTTCTGATTTGAATAATCAAAATCAGACATTTCAAAAAATTTTTTTTTAATTTTTCTATTAAATATTAAAGAAAACAATTTTTTGAAACAAAGGAAATGGTAATAGAAGTTTAATCCTGTTCCAGGACACCTCTTGAAACTTTTCGACTTAAATTTTTTTGAAACTCCACTCTTATTTTTGATCTCTGGTTTTTATGGGTGTATTTGAGATTTTGGGGGTGTTCTTTTCCTGTGGGGGAATTATTAAAATCGCGTTCAGTGAAGTATACCTTTTGATGGACCGCTATTCCCCTCGAATTTCGCTCACTGTGCGGCCCTTGATGTTTGTCTCTATCTTTCGGCTGGGCTTTACCTGATCCATGCTCGGATTTTGGGGTTTGCTCCCTGCTCCGTTCGGCTTTTGAGAGCTTTGTTTGAGCGTTTAGACAGTGAGATTTTTCTTGTGTGGTAGATCGATGACTAAATTTGCTAGTGTATGAGGTGTACATGTATGTATACGCGTAGACATATGTGTGTGTGAGTGTTTCTGTGTGTTTGTGTGGACTGTGGACTGTGTGGTTGATTTGTTCAGATTTACAGACTCTATGGAGGCTAACCCCGGGCGCAACGAAAACAGAAAAATAGAAGGTTCAAACGAGGGAGTAAGGCGGAGGAGGGGCGGCACCTAAATTTCCGACTAGACTAGGAGCTAAGAAAGCTTTTTGTGGTGGAGGGGCTTGCTGCACTTACATTGGGTGGACATGGTGCCCATCTGCTTGCGGTAGGACTCGCGAGCCTTGCGCAAATCCTCCTCCAGCTGCTGCTTATCGGTATGCAGATGCCTCACATGGGCGTGCGTGATCTGGATCATCGAGTAGAAGACATTGGCATTCCGCTTGGTGCAATCGCCACGCTCCAGCCAAGCGGTGATCGTCTGTATGGCCTTCACAAAGGTCTCATTGCTTCGCAGTTGCTCGGCAACGGCCGTGGCCTCGTGCTCCGTGTAGTGGGGTATCGGCGGCGGCGACTGTGAACGCATTCGATCCAGCGACATGCGTTCGCGATGCCGCTGCTCGCGCTGAAGCTGCCGCTGCTTGCACTCGTAGTCGTACTGATCGTCCCGCGCCTGGGCATAGTCCACATGCAGGCGTCCAAAGTTGGGGGGCTCGTTCATTGCCGAGATGCGCAGCCGGTAGCCCGATAGATAGATGGCCCGATCAATGGCCGTCTCGTGACGGTAGCGTATGTGGCAGAAGTTCTTCTTGGACATGCGCAAGGTTGTTATCTCGCCGCACGACTCGAAGATCTCTCGGATCACGTCCTCGGTGATGTTCTCCGGCAGTCCGCCAACGAATACAGTTCGACATCCGGGCGGTCGTTCCCTAATGGTGGGCGGCGGCGCATTGGGATTGGGTGGAAACAAAATGCAGTTCTTAGTCTTGATCACCTCCTTGAGGCCAGCCGCTGCCGAGCCATCTATATCATAGGGTATACGTTTTGTTACTTTCGTAGGATCTCAAGAATGTGCAGGCATCTTACCCGCTGCTAGAGCTGCATCCAGTCCTGCTCCCCCGTCTGTGGGCATTCCCGCCACTGTGGCATAGTGGATCTGCTGCATTTGCTGCATGGCAGCGGCCATCATGGCCGTGGGGTCCATCAGCATTTGTGCAGCATTGGCGCTGCTGGAGCCTGCCGCTGCTGCTGCCGCACCAGCAGTGGGCGTGCCAACTGTCCCACCGCCGCCAGTGGGCGTTTGTGCAGCAGCCGGAAAGTACAAGTAGCCCGGCGGAGTGTGCATGAGCCCATTCAGATAGAGCTGGGCATCGGGCAGTGACAACGATGAGGCCGTTAGCTTATCCACCGATGGCTTGAGGCCTGTGGTCGACGACACATCCTGTGGGTGTCCATCCAACTCGTTTTCGTTCTCCAGATCCATGGGGGCACTGCCCTGAGTGGTGCCCAGCAGCTTCATCATTTTGTTGGTCGTCTGCTTGGCGGTAGGCACTGTCGCACCTACCACTGAATTGTTGCTGTTGCTCGCCGAGGATGTGGCTGCCGTCGAAATGGCGGCGGCCAGTTGATTGAGGAAATTCGGATGATTTGGCAAACTGACGCCGTTCGGCATGGTCCCAAAGAGCGGTACTGCAGAAAAGAGAAGGAAAATGAATTAAATCAATACCAACAGAAAAAAAAAGAGTCAGAAAGCCGGTAATAACAATCAGCTGAAGGACAACCTTGGAAAGTAGGCCAGGGAGTGGGGTATGGAATCTGGTTACAATTCGATTATTTCTTGGGGGCGGGGTGGGTGATAGGGCTCCAAAATGGCGTAAGCACTGGGCAGCCAAGAGTGAAATAAAAACCCTCTCGCCAGATTCTAGCACCTCGCCCATACAGTATTTCACTGTTTGGCACTTTGTTGAGCAGTTTAAAATTATTTTCCGCTACGTAACTCAATACTTACACATATTAAGAGCGAAAAAAATGCCTTTTTATGTGTTAAAATTAAATCCGATGTCCAGCATTGCCACCCCTGAGCAAAACCAACAGCTGATTGAACAAAATGCAACGATCTGGTAGCACTACGATCACTGTTTAACTCAAGTCGCTCACCTGTTTAAATAGAGGCGAACCTAGAGGGTTACGTTTGTTTTTTCATCGGTATATTTACGGTATATTTTAGTATATTTCTGAGAGTCAGACCGTATATTTTATCAACAAATCCGTAGTGACACACTGTCTATGATTCATCAGCTGTCGATCGAAAAACGAAAATTAAAAACAAAGCACAGCAGCGGAACGTAGTTGCGAGAAAATCGCTCAAATTTCTAGTGGAACTAATTTAGAAGGCTCTCCAGGATGTCGGTGAACACCGCCCACGCCAACAACGGCGTGCTCATACACGCTGGCGAGTAGTAAGTGCAAAAGAAACCGCAATAATGGCGAAATGTTGGGACTCGCTGACGTCAGAAGAAATGTAAACATGACGTGTGATGCAGCGAATAGAGTCTCCAACTGGGCCGCCATCGATTTGCCTGTTGAATCCGTTGAATGCTAATACCAGTGCAATTGTACCCCCCATCAGCATACTGCTCCATAGCGACAGCGTTTCCATGGAATTCTCGGGCCAGGACAATCCCGTGTTCAAGGGCTCGAAGGCGGGACGCATCTATTTGACATCGCATCGCATGATCTTCAACAGCAAGAAATCGGCAGACACCATGCAGTCCTTCAGTGCCCCGTTCGTGGCTCTGTCCGATGTGGAGATTGAGCAGCCCGTCTTTGGGGCCAACTACATCAAGGGCAAGGTGCGCGCCCAGCCCAACGGCAACTATGTGGGCGAGGTCAAGTTCAAGCTGCACTTCAAGGCCGGCGGCGCCATTGAGTATGGACAGGCCCTGCTGCGGTCGGCCAAGACCGCAATGAACAACTACCATCGCGGGGGCATTGCCGGCGACGATCCGCCGCCGTACCAGCCGGCTGGAAACTGGAACGAGGCTCCGCCACCGGCCTACCAGCCGCCACCGGGCTACTATGGTTGGTTGCCGCAGCACGATGCCTTCAGTGGCCCAGCACCGAATACGGTGTTCATGAGCGACAATCCGCCGCCGTATCCGGGCATCAGTAAGTACCCAGGCAGCCATAGACTCCCACCCACCACTCGGCTTTTGTTTTGGCACAGCTGCTGCGATGCTTCCCCTGAAAATTGGAAACGTTGCACTTGAAATTCTTGCACCGCTCACGCCTTGTCTAACCACCCCCCACCTCGGTGCACTCTGCATTTCTATCTCTATCTATAGCACCGCCGAGCAATCAGCCAGCACCACCACAGCCTCAGGGCCCATCGAATGAACCGAATTGGTATGGTTTTTCAGCGCCTCCGCAGCAGCAGCCGCAGTGGCAGGGGCAGGGGCAGGGCCAGGGGCAGGGATGGGCTGGCGGCTATGTCCAGCCACCGCCCTATGCCGCCTGTGCACCAAACTGTCCGCCCGGACCTCCCTATGCGGTTCCGGCTCAGACCTACAATGGTCCGACCCCATACGGCGGCTACAGCGGCTATAACAACGTGCCTGGTGGCTTCATGCAGCCCCAACAACAAGCGAACGGCTATCCAGGAGGACCAGGAGGACCTCCTCCTGCCCAGCAGCAGCCACCGCAGCAAGCAGGAGCCGCTGCCGGCGCTGCGGGTGCCAGTTTTATGGGCTTCAGTCTGCCGCCAGGAAGTGAGTAATGCAATCCTTCAGACAATCCCACACACATGTTCATTACTTATTCACGCATAACCATGATTTGGCCTTCAACTTTTTAGAGGAAAGTAAAAAATGCTAAAAGGCAAGCAAGTTCCAAGAAAATCAAGAAATCAAGAGCCCCCCACTCATTTTATTTGTTATCAAAATTAAGGAGCCAACGAAAAGAATTCAAGAACTAATGGATTTTGAAAATTTGTACATTCTCCCCACTTCATAAATTATTCTTTTGTATTCCCCGATCCCCTAAACCACCATCATGGCGAGATCTAACAATCAACAAAAAGCTAACAGTGAAGCTAAAGTAAAGCAAGTCGCATCGATTGGGCAACGAAACCCTAAAACGAATCACATATCTTTTTTGACCTATTTTACAGTGTAATCAAAATCAACCTACCACCCACCTACCAACAAACAAACAAACAAACAAAAGCCAAACCCCCCAACAAGTAAGATTTATTTTTCGATGTGTTCCCCCACTCCCCCCACCCCCGCTCAAAAAACTAACAAAAGCCGAGTCTCAAATTAGAATAGTCGATGCCTTTGTTTGAGTGCCCGTTTAATGGTTTTCGTCTACTTTAACTCTTGTTTTTGTTCTTTTTTTTACCTCCCACAAATGCGAACCTCAGTAGCAAGATTTGGCAGCACTCATCATTATTTTTATCCAATCGAAAGGCCATTGTGCATTGTACTCGTCCCCGGTTTAATCCGATAAATACACAAAAATAAAACTGTAAGAGATGGAACCGTTTGTGTGTGTTCCGTTGGAAAATGCACTTGTAGGCTGGGGAAAAGCCAATGAAATAAATTACAAAAATATTTCTCTTGTAATCCATACAGATTCCAAAGAAGCGGAAGCTGCTGCAAGTGCTTACAACACACCCTATAATCAAGGCGGTGCCGGTCCATCCGGTGCCAGCGAAATGCCTCCTTCATATAATGTAAGGCTGATAATTGATCGATTCCCTTGATCACTTACTATATACTGTTTGATCCCTTCGTAGAACTTGCCGCCCAGCTATGACGATGCAGCAAGGAAGCCCCAATAAAATATGCCCTATGTTTCACTCCTGATCAAATATAATCCCAATGGAAATGTTATCACTTGAAGCTCTAACTAAGGCTCATTCCTGAGTATATCCATCTGCAAAAGGCAAGATGTAACTTTAAGTATTAACTATTGATTGTAAGCCGTTCTCGAAAATTCTTGAAACGGCTCTAAAGATTCCTTATACAGTTTTCAAGCTGATTTCTGGTCACAACACTTTTTTTTTTTTGTATTGGTTTTTTAAATATTGCATCAACTGCAATTAATAGTTGTTATTATATATAAATATGTGTATTGAAATACATTTAAATCAGTATGCTTTTAATGGGGAATAAGTTTTTATTGGAATTTTTCCAAATTTAATTTCATTTATCGTACGATTCTTTGTGGTTTTTGGTTTCTGGGGACCGACTGTGTATTTTGTTGTTGGATTCTTTGGACCGCAAAGGGCGACATAAGGGACATGTGAGCTGAAGCCTCATTGAGAGGTGGTTCGAATCTCTTCAAATACTTGGCTGTCCGATTGAGGCCTTTTACATATCCCAAGCACCGCGTTGTTCCCTGATTTTGCTACAGAACATTGAGTACTGAGAGCCTCCCTTTTATTTTTTTGACCATATTCTGCTTCATTGCAAATAAAAAAACACCAGCTTCGCTTTTGGAACTGTCTGATTTTTCCGATTTGTTATAGAGCTCATTGTCTCGTCTCATTTCACAGAAAACTAGTGTTAAATACCTTGAAACCCTTCCACAAACTAAAATCATTGCCCTTTAACCTATTCAGTTGGACTGAAATAAAAACAGGGCATAATATCTCATAGATACGTGTGCTAGAGGCCGCAAACTTTTTTTGTTTCATCAAAAATTCATTAGTCTATAAAATACAAATTATTTCATCAAAATCGATAAGTTGGTTGACAAAGATATGGCGGTATGTCCGCAAAACCTGGCTGCTTACCCTCGAGGGACGTGCAGATCAATACCCACGGTATATGTGATCAATTCATGTTTTGTTGAATGCAAAAATCAATAGCTTGTGGAATGTACACGCTATTTTATGTTGAATAACAGCTACCCAGTGTTTTTCGAATCATTTACACCCCAAACGGAGTTGGTAACACTAAAGGGCCACTGAAGGCGGCTCAATTGAGGGGAAGAAAACAGTTTCGGTGTGCCGACAGAGCCCACAACAGGCTGATTCTGGCCAATTAACCGACGCGTGCGGTGCTGAACCGAGTTGAACAAAATCAATCGTATGCCACATGCGCAGTGGCGGGCGTGGTGAGAAAAATGCCAGGACATGGGCACAGCCAGAATATGGCCAGCAGTTGTTGTCCACGGGAGGAATGTTTAAGTCAATCGGTGAAAAGGATAAACCAAAGCTTCCATAATAAAACCACAATTCGGAAGTGAACAATTGAGAGGGCAAGAAAGCCACGGCAGTCCATAGTTTCTGGGCCTCCACAAATATGCCATCAAGTGCGGCAAAATTGTGCCTGTTGTCTATCGATTTGTGTGTAACTCTTTCCCACGAAGCTGCTGCTGCTGCAGCCTGCAGTTCCGACGAATGCGAATAATGCAAACGCCCCCAGCACTGAGAGACGATTAATTGCAGCAAAAAGCAACAGCAGTGGCAACGGCAACGGCAACCCAACCGGATATCGCGGCAATCAACCAAACAGAACCCAAGCGAACCAGAATGGACGTGGGCGGACAGGACACTACCTACGAGCCGCTGGACCGTGACCGGGGCGGCAGTATCCCGGCCGGCGAGGGCGGTCGCCGACATCCTGGCAGCATGGACAGTCCCGAGTACGAGACGCGTGCCCCCAAGGACCAGCGGCGTGCGGTCTATCTGGCCTTGATGGCAGCGGGCATTGGCTTTGTCTTGCCCTACAATAGGTGAGAGAAGAGCACACCACACCGCACCGCACCGAAATTATCTCATGCTCATGCTTTGAAACCCTTTTGCAGTTTTATAATCGCCGCGGATTATTGGCAGGGACGGTTCCCCGGTCGCCATGTGGCCCTGGACATGTCCATGACGTACATCTTTGTGGCCTTTGCCACGGTATTGCTCAACAACATTGTGCTCTCGCTGGCCCCCTTCCAGAAGCGGGTGATTTTCGGCTACATGGTGTCCTTCACCACCCTCGTGTTCGTGGCCGTCTGCGAGGTGGCCTGGCATATGTTCGCCACGAACACCGCCTATCTGGTAAACATGTCCGCTGTGGCGCTGACCGCCATCGGCTGCACGGTGCAGCAGTCCAGCTTCTACGGATTCGCCTCGATGCTGCCGCAGCAGTACACGCAGGCGGTGATGGCCGGCGAGAGCATTGCCGGTTTTCTGGTGTCTTCCAATCGGGTGGTGACCAAGCTGCTGATCAACAACGATCGCGTCTCCACGGTCATCTTCTTTCTGACATCGACGCTGTACATTATCTTCAGCTATCTGCTGCACCGGGCCACCATTAATTCGCCCTTTGTGCGGTACCATGTGGAGGCCTGCTCGAAGATTATACTGCGACCGGATGAGGTGAGTGACTCGTACACCCAAAAGCTGTTCTATGCCCTGATGCCTTCGCGGCAGAGGAATTCAACAACAAAATACAAAAAACAATATACATCGCTTGTGCATGACACAGAAAATGGATCTCGAGGCACAAACTAATTCGTCTCTCTCTCTCTCTCTCTCTCTCTCTCTGTGTCTCTCTCTTATTTGATCTGTCATTCCAATAGCAAGAGATTGACGGAGTACCCAGCACCACACGCTATGGAGTGCTCTCGATGGATGGAACCCACACCACGACGACCATATCGGGTGGCAATCCTGTGGCCGGGAACACGCTCAGCTTCAGCAATCCCGTGTACGAGCTGTCCAATCCGACGGCCGGCGAGAGCAGCATCGAGGCACTGGGCCAATTGCCGTCCGATCTGCCATCGACCCCCCATGAGCCGACAACGCCCACCACAGTGGCGTTCAAGGTGGAGCACGTGATCCAGCCGCGTCGCTGCAGACCGAGCAAGCTGAGCGACATACGCGAGGGATTTGTGAGCAGGTGGCGCGTGGCGCAGGTCATCTATCCGTACATGGTGTGCATTGCCCTGGCCTACTGCGTGACCCTCTCCCTGTATCCGGGCATCGATGTGGAGGTGCAGTCGTGCGCCCTCGGCTCCTGGATGCCCGTCCTTCTGATGTTCTGCTTCAATCTGTCGGATGTGGCCGGCAAGATGCTGGCCGCCAGCCCGTATCCGTGGTCGCGCCGGCAGCTCATACTGTTGTCGGGACTGCGAATCGTGCTCGTGCCCCTGCTTCTGCTCTGCTGTGCGCCGCGTCAGCGTCCCGTCATATCCGGGGAGACGGCGCCCTTTGTCTTCACCATCGCCTTGGGGATCACCAACGGCTTGGCCGGCAGTCTGCCCATGATCCTGGCTCCTGCCAAGGTGCCGGGCACCCTCAAAGAGGTCACGGGCAACATAATGACCCTGTCCTACAATGTGGGCCTGACCGTTGGCTCCCTGATTGGTTACGTGTTTGAGAGCATGCTGGGGCCCCAGCTTTTGAATCCCTGCCCCTCGTATCCGTATGTGCCGGTCTCGATGCTGGAGCACATCCACGGCCACGGCCACGGCCATATGCCGCCCCTTCCGCTGACCAGCAGCACCACCGTCCCCCCCACAACCAGCACAAGCGCAGCCACGTCTCTGGTTCCGCTCCTGCTAAATGCAACGATTGCCACCCTGACCGGCAGCAGCAGCAGCAGCGTCAGTCCTCTAACCGAGAGCTCTAGTTCCATTGGGACCACAGCCAGCCCCGCATTGGCCACGGTCATAACCACCACGGCCCTGGCTCTGTACAGCACCGTGGCTGGGAGTAGTGCGGAGGTGATCAATGCCACCCTGTCGACCTTCCTGTCCACGGTGAGCAGTTCGGTGGGGGACATCAGTGACGAGATGGCTGGTGGCATGACCACAGATCCGCAGACCCCAGAGGCCTTGCTGGAGAATATTTAAAGTGGCGCGAGAGGCTTACAAGAGACACTCCATTCACTTGCTGGAGCTGAAGTTCCACTGAATATCACCCCCCTCTCCACTTGACCATATCCCTTTCAAACTTATTTTTAATGATGCCTTGAAAGCATGCATGTATCTCAGAGATACAGAGAGAGAGAGAGATTGAGAAACTTGCCATTAAATAATACCCGCTGATCTCTCTGTGAAACGCTGATCTCTTTGGTCAAGTAACCAGAGACATTGTAAAGGCTTTAAAGATGGTCCTCGATCTCATTTTTTTGAAATTTTCACCACAAAAAATATCTTTCAGCTCAAAAAAGTTATTAAAAATATTATAGAATATACTCGTAAAATAGCATAACGTAAGCAACAACTGTTCTTGTCTTGTCTGTACTAATATGTATATCTCCAATAACTGAATTGTGTCTAGTATCCCTTTTGTTCAGCGGTTGATTTTAGCTGTTCTTGACTCGCGGAGCATCTATAACACTCAAAAAACAAACAAAAAAAACCTGTTAACCTAGGCCTAAATACATATACGGATAAGGTGTGTGCTTGTGTGTGATCGAATGCCGCTGGAGTATGTCCTTTGTCCTTCGCTTTGCCACCCACAGAGTCCGTTACACGTGATGATTGTATAGCAAGGGTATTCGTTTATTTCAGTTGGGGGTGGGGGGGGGGGGGGGGATATCTTGGTCAGGATTGTAATTGCCTTCTCCTTTAATTGTTCTTGTTTTTAGCTTAAATCCTAGCCAAAAATGCAGCATCCGAATACGTAGTCTTAAGTATTTGTTTTGTATGAATAAGATATGGTTTATGTAGCCGGGAAAGTGTGGAAAAAAATACAAAAAAAAAAACAAAAACATAAAGTGTTAACATAGAAATATTTAAATATACATACATATATTGTAAAGTACGAGCAGAGCTGGTGGCTGGAGGCTGGAGGGGCGCTCCCTTAATTCGGTAATATTTATTTAGTCGCCGAGTCGCCCGTGGGCTGTGAGCTGTGCGGGAGAAGAGTATTAGTCTAACTAGATACAAAATCAATAATAATTCAATAATTTGTTTGTCAACAATCAAGAACAAAAATAACAAATTAGCCTTCAATAATATAAAGATACAAATAATATAAAAACGGCAAACATACATATACAATTATTCAATTTAGGCATCGAATTCGATCTAGACCTCTTCCAGGAGGCACAGTATATCCATTCCTTCGTCTGTCCGGTTATAACTGTGTTTGGGGCCATTAAGAATCACCTTAGCCAGGGCTGTCCCGATGGAAGAAGCCGGGAACAGCTCTTTAACAGGAGCAGCCCAGGAGGATGCCAGAACCTAAACAGAAAGCTCCTCGCCGGATACGGATCCACCAGCAATGACAAAGATTGCCCTCAAGGCTGCATGCTGCTTTCGGAAGGACGGTGTCTGGAGACGTCGCACTAGTAGTGCCAGATATGGCCCCGCTGGGAGCAAGCTGGGAAAGAAAAGAGAGGTGGACCAGAAGGCTCATCCCCCAGCTTAGTCCCTATAGCTGCAGTACAGCAAAGGGGCCATAGAGAGCCCGTACAGATTCTCCGCCGTGGGCTGGTACGATGGATATTGTGGCTGCTGCTATGGCGGATAGAGAGGAGGCGGCGTCCAGTAGGGTGGTACGAGATAAAGGCCACTCGGACCCGCTACATGCTTCTCTTGTTTGTCGCAGCTTCTTCAGGTCTTTCTCCGCGGCATTCAAATGTTTTTCTTTTTTTTCGACTCGCTTTTCTTATTTTCTATGGGCCAATGTCAGCAAGCCATATCAAGGAGCGGATAGAGCGTGCCGATTCATTTTGTACACCCGATACTAGGGTATTCGATTTGTGGTGAAAGTGGATGTGTGTAACGTCAAGAAGGAATCATTTCCGACCCTATAAAGTATATATATTCTTGATCAGCATCATTAGCCGAGTCGATTGAGCCCTGTCTGTCCGTCCGTCCGTCTGTCCGTCCGTCCGTCCGTCTGTCTGTCTGTCCGTCCCCTTCAGCGCCTAGTGCTCAAAAACAATAAGAGCTAGCGCAACGACGTTTTATATCCGGACTTCTGTGATATTTCACTGCTACAAGTATATTTCAAAACTTTGCCCCGCCCACTTCCGCCCCCACAAAGGGCGAAAATCTTTTGCATCCACAATATTGAGGATACGAGAAAACTAAAAACGCAGAATCATAGATAATGACCATATCTATCCAGTTGCGGAATCTCGATCAGATCGGATAATTTGTATAGCCAAAAGGAACAAATCAATTTGCACTGGCTACGCAGCGCCCGACGTCACGCTCAGACTGATTTTCTGTCTCTCTCGCACGCACTCTTTGTCGTGTCGTTCAATATTAGCGGCGTCTGCCGGAGGAGAGCCATACTGACTATGTATCGGGTATAAATGTAGAGTTGCGGTGTACGCAGCAACTCACAACGTTCCCCCTCGTTTTATAATAATTTTCGATAAATGTCTATAAATATTTATGTTTTACAAAACATTTTGTATGGCTGCCTGCACCCTTGGCCATTTTAGTTTATGGTGAAAGTAGCGGATAAGAAAAATGTATGGGTTTTATTTATGGATTTGTATTAAATTTATAACAAATTCCTACTATAAACGCGCCACGCCACCTGCCGTCTTGCAGATTCGTGCTATAAAATATCTTTTGACTGGAAAATTTATGAGCGGAGATATGCCGCCATCTTGCGTCTTGTAAACCAGAGTTCAGTTCAGTTAGTCTTTATCTTTTTCTTTAATCTCATGCGAAAATGCTTCGAAATGGGCCATTTGGGCCTTGAATGAATCCGAAAGCTTTTTACTTTCCTCCTGTTTGTCCAGATACGATTGTAGTTTCAGATGAAGTCCTTCGATGCTGGCCTTGATGCCACTTGTCTCCTCTTTAATTGACTTGAGATCAGCTCGCTGCTTGATGGCGTTTTCTTCGTGTTGATCAATCAAAGACCTATGTGATTGGACATCCAGTTCCAGTTTGGCCAACTTCTCAAATATTTTGTTTTCCTCCTCCACATCCTTTACGAGGGCTGCTTGATTTCCGATCGGCTCTCCAGACTCATTTGTCACATTGTCGACCCTTCGGACTTTTGAATCAATGTCTGCTCGCAAATATATTTGCTCTTCTTCGATTTTAAGCCTAAGACGATGTATTTCGTCCCACTTGCTTGGAAAAAAATTTACCTTTTGGACTTCTTCCAGGTTGGATAGCCTCTTCGCCATTTCCGCTATGTATTTTTGCCGAATTTCGATCTTCTTTTCCATATCATCAACATTTTTGGATTCAAGTTCCTGGGGCTTGTCAATGATTTGACCCATCTTTACGTTCTGGCAGACAAATGTTAACTGAAAAAGGGAAATTGATTCAGCTTGATTATCTATGGAAAATGATATGAGTATCTTATCTGAAGTGTGATTAAACCTATGTACATTTATTTGTTTGTACTTATGTGATTCGAACAAATAGCTTTAATCATACTGATACTGATACTGATACTGCTTATCGCTCGGAAGCATAGCTCGCAAACGGCGGTCAACTCTTTTTCTCTCACTGAGCAGAACACTTTGCGAGTCGGAAGTAATTGGTGCAGTTTTAATCAGGGACCGTAATCATTATAAATGATGAAATAAAAAATACTTGTAATTACTAATAAATTACACCTATGTACATAATTCTTTTTTTACCCGGTAGATTGTTTCCTGAAAAAGCCGTGTACAAAAATACATTGATCGTATGCTAAAATAGGTGATTGGATCCTTGTCTCTAAAACTGATTAAATTAAGGAAAACAATTTGGAAACGTCTTTACCAAACACGTCTGATTGCATTGATAGTTCACAAAATACAAACACATTTCTATTGCAAATAAGTAATCCCCCCCATATTAGTTTTCTAGCTTTCTAGCTGTTGGTGAGCTATGTGTGTTTTTATCTACATATGTACATACATATCTATGAATAAAATCGGGAAAAAACATTACAAAATTTTGATTTTCAAGCCGTGTTATTTCAAAAGCGTGTAAAAACAAAATAAGGTATTTACATATTTTACGTTTTTCTTCAATGATTATCATTAACTTTGAGCAATTTGATTTTTGTTTTTATATTTTATTTATTAATTATTTTTTATATATTTTATTTATTCATTTTTTTATTATTATATTTTTTTTTTTTCTATATTTGATTTATATATTTTATGTTTTTTTTTTTATATTTTATTTATATATTTTTTTATTTAATTTTATTTGAGTATAAAATATTATCGCAGCTACAATTATGTTGTTTGCTGTTACTGTTAGAGCAACTTAAACAAGTCACTGAACATACATATTTAGAATGAATGAAAATAAAAAAATAATTGCGTGTCATCAAGGTGTAAGAATTTCGAGCGGGATATTATTTGGTTCAATTATCTGTCCAGGTTTCTAGGGTAGAGGTCCTCTTGCGGCAGGTCCACTGGGTGTATTCTGGCCAGATTTTACGGAATTTACGGCTATTAATTATTGATATCAAGAAAAGCTAAGGGCAAAGAGAAGGAGACTAACACAACCCTCAGGCACTCATCAGTTTCGATGATAACATAGGTTGAGCGAGAATCTATTCCATTGGTACCCCAGGTCCAGGCCAGAGCCTGTTATGCCATCTGTTATGGGGGAACATTATTTCTTCAGTTCAAGTCATGGGGTTCCATTTTTATGGCAGGGATTTGAAGAAATTCCCCTCTGTTGGCGGATTGGATTTCCCTATGTTAAAACATGGGTGCGAATGTGGCTTGCAGAGCTGTTCTCTGTTTCTATAAGATTTAATATTCAATATATGTAGATATAAAGATACATTAATAAACTTCAAGGGATCATCATTTGTGCCCAATTCCAGAGTTCGGTTATCCAGCTCCTTCGACTGCTGCTTGCAGGAATCCAGTCAGTATTATGATTCGATTTACTATTCATTTTTCCATGGCCTTTTGCCTGCGCAGATCATTGAGCTCCTTCTCGATGCCCTTAATGACTTCGTTGTGTCGCTTGATAGCATAGACATTCACGGAATGAGCCATTAAGCCAATGCCATTAAGCCATCCCTGACTACAAAGATTATTCAAAAAGTCCGTTTGCATCTGCAGGCCCTTTTCAAGCTCAGCAATCCTGTCGTCAATATTCCTGGACTGCTCCATGTTAATATCAAGACTATCGGAATGATGTTCCTCGAGCAGAGTAGAGCTCTTACTGAACGCCTCGATCGTTCTGTGGGGGTTTAAGCTTTTGCCAGTAATTGATAAGATGTTCTTCCCCGCGAAATGTCGGTGTGGCTAGCACTAAAAAGCAATAAAGATATCTGTATGTGCAGTACATTTCTGAATGTTTTGAGTAAAGAGTTCAACGCACGTATCAGGCTTATCTTTTCTGCAGAATTTTTGTGGTGATGCACTGTGTG